TAAAGGACACCTCTCTATAAAGGACACTTGGTTCTGCCCCATACTATACATAGGGACACCTCTCTATAAGGACACTTTGTTCTGCCCCATATAGGGACACCTCTCTATAAGGACACTTTGTTCTGCCCCATACTAATACATAGGGACACCTCTCTATAAAGGACACTTTGTTCTGCCCCATACTAATACATAGGGACACCTCTCTATAAAGGACACTTGGTTCTGCCCCATACTATACATAGACACCTCTCTATAAAGACACTTGGTCTGCCCCATACTAATACATAGGGACACCTCTCTATAAAGGACACTTGGTTCTGCCCCATACTAATACATTAGTATTATGTCTGAAATCTCTAAATAAAGCACACTTTCAATGTCCCAAGGTGTCTCCTATTCAGAGATGTCAGGATTTGCGCCAACTCACTCACCAGTGATGGACGCTGGTTTCAGAGAAGACGGAGGCTGGAATGACTTTCAGCTGCTTCAACTGCCGAAGAGCTGCTTCATCACTGCAGGCAGTAATTCTCAGTAATCTACCAACTTTTTCAGTATACTATAGTAAACCATTCAGTATTCTTAATGATCACTCTTCAGTAATCTTGGTTAGTATAGTTGGAAAAATCTCAGCACTCTAATTCAGTAAACTACTCAGTAATCTCAGTTAGTAAACTATGCCAGTAAACTGTACTTACTTCTTGTATTCTCCGCATTGCACTTGCATGACACAAGCTGCCAGTTCAAATATACAAGCATCATCGGTTACAATCTCTCCCTGCAAAAATAGTATACTCCAGTAAACCTGTCAGTAATCTACACCAAATCTAGTAATCTTCTTGTATACTCTCAGTATACTACCTTCATGATGGCTTGTCTGGAAAACTGATAGAGAAGTTCAACAGTCATATAGTCTTGTAGGTAGCGAACCTCGTCCACAAAATACCTGGAGAGCAAAACAAAAAAAAAGGTAGATGAAAATGTTTACAACATTTTTAGGTATATATGTAGGAAACTTGTATAAATAAGAGGTATGCAAAGAGAAGTTAGCAGATTGCTATAATATAGTCCGTCCTGCCTGGGCTGACAAACGAATACTCACGAAGCAGTCCGCCGTAAAGAAAAGTATAATATGGAGTGAGCTGTTCAGTTATCATGCAGAGATAGTTCGTAGACAAGAAGAAAGACTTTGAAACCTACAACCCTGACTAGTGTACCGTTACATGCTGGGACATGCAAATTTTATGGCCTTACGTTACTAACACAGAGCACTATACTAACAACTGTCCATTATCGACAGCATGTTTTACTTTCAACATGCCAGTTTTGCTATTATCAACAGGCACACGCGTCCACAAACACAGAATTCTCGTGAAAAAAGTACCGAAACCCTTTCTGTTTGTCCGTCTATGGCACCAAGTGGCTTTCTTACAATAAGGACACCTCACTAATACGGACAGACACTTTCTTCTGTCCCATTGGTGTCTTCATTAGAGGGGTTCCACTGTATAATGCTCAGGACACCTCACTAATACGGACAGACACTTTCTTCTGTCCCATTGGTGTCTTCATTAGAGGAGTTCCACTGTAATGAACATCTGATATAATACCACATACTCACTTGAATGTGAAGAATATTTTAATCTGTCCGCTGCCCTTCGGCAGGTCTTGAGAAGGATCCAAAACCGGTTTGTCCAGTTCCAACCAGTTCTTGTACCTGTTGAACAACAACAGACACAGGACATCACGCTGTACTCGCATACACTGACGCCGCGATCTGATTGGTCGGTTTTAATGTACCGCTGATCAGGAGTCGTGTCGCTGAAGCGCCTTACATGGGAAAAAACATGGATTCATTAGTAGGATTTGCATTCCTCGCCCCGTTACCTAGCAACTCACACCCACCCTACTAAAAAGGCATTATGAGCTAACTGAGTGAGAGAGAGAAAGGAGAGGAAGGGGAAAAGAAGAGAGGGAGAGGGAGAGAGAGGGAGGGAGGAAGGGAGAGAGTGAGGAGGAAAGAAGAGAGAAAGCCATCTCCATTCAAGTGACGAGTGTTCATGAATAAGAGAGGAAATAGCACCCTGTGTCTCTGAACACTGACTCCATTCACCTCTCCTCTTTCATCCCGACACCAATTACTGTCGCCCTACGGCCACCAGCATTTGAGGTGACTCTGTTGTCGTTGGCAACATGTGACTCCATCCGTCCCTACTTCACCCCATACACAATCCACTTCTTGACTACTATACGTCTATGATGCTAGGTACAACCTATCCCTAGTATGTACTAACGTAGTACTTAGTAAATACAGCCACTTCAAAACAGACAATTATAAGAATTTTTCCTCGATATTTGTTTATTCCTTACCGCAACGCCACATATTTCACCACAATTCCATACTTAGAGCCACTTAACAGACTTTCACATGTGTAACGATCACTGAGCACTTTGCTAGTTATTTTTATATACAAAACTCGTGTCTGCTGACTGGATTTATGGTTTAACTCCTTGATGACTGTATGATTAACCCCTTACCCGTCTCCTTCAGTCCTGAGGCCGAAATACTCCTTCTCCTTGATCTTGCAGTGTGAGGCGGCCATGTCTAGGAGCTCAGACGCCAGCAGAGTTGGCTGCAGAACAGCGAGGGAGAGAGGGGGGAGTAAATAGAGAGAGAGGGACACGATCAAAAGAAAATTAAACTCCTCTAATCGGGACACCAATGAACAGAAGAAAGACTCCAATTTTGTTGAGGTGTCCTTATTTCAGGGGTTGAATTGCATGCAAGAACTGTTCTTGGGGAAAGAAAAGTGTCCTTATTAGAGAGGTGTCCTCATTTCAGGGCTGTCCTTAGAGAGGAGATAGTGAGAGGGGGAGGGAGGATTAGTGCAAATCAAATTTATCCCACTGCTAAGTGACCCTAGCAACTTGCAACCCAATATGCACAAAAAAGGTAGCCCAGCAAGAGCCCCATCAAGTAGGTCTGGCTCTCCAGTCTGTGGCTCCCTAAAAAGCAACTGTAACCTGCTCTCTAGGACTATTATGCCAACAGCTGTAGGCATTAGCGGAGTCCATTGACCTGAATGTGTGTTACTTCTGTCTATTGTGACAGTACAGTGGAACTCCTCCAATCCAGACAGCAACATGAGACCAGTCCATATTAGTGAGCTGTCCTTATTTCAGGGGTTAAATTTAGAGAGGTGTCCTTATTTCTACTATAAGTTCAGGAAAGCATAGAAACTTTCTCGAAAAGGACAAACTACAAGTTTTTATCGGGGACTTGTAGCTGGGTGAGTGGTCTGGTCACTGAGCCTGAGTTTGACTCCTGTCAGAAGGTGGTTCTTCTCTTGTCAGCAAAACCTAAACCTCTCCTTTTCCCTTGTGAGCAGTATAGCAGCTGTTTTATGGTGGCCATACTATAGTACAGAGCTAAGATGTTTCCTGGCATAGCTAGCCTTCTGATCTAATGGGCCCTTTAACCCTTTTGTACTGGTCATGTGGTCAGCCGTTTGTATGGCAGTAAATGAGACAGGTTAGCTGGTATCGAATGAGTTAATTAGCACTGAATTAGGGCGTGTTTGTTTGTAAATACAAACCTTTAACGTCTGTTCTTTTAAAATTCGCAATAAAAGAAAGATTGGATGCGAACTTTGGAAATTTGGAAACTTTACTGGCACAGAGAGGTACGTGAATAATTCATAAGCCGCATACATGCAGGTTTGAACAAGGCAGGAGACACAAAGGATTTTAAAATCAGGCCCCTGATGCGAGATGTGGTAGTCATAGCAACACATGTCGTCACACATGTACGTTTGTCGCTACATCGTTTCCATGGCTTTACCTTAGCTTTGACACATGCTGCATTCGTCACCTTACTGTACCTCCAGAAAGAGTCGCAAAATGTTTTTTTATTTGACCATTTTCGAGAGATAAAACTTGGCAAATGACAATTTACTTCCACAGATAGCCCATAACTTTTTGGCCCTTACCCACAAATATTTTTCAGGTATATTTTTCATGGCTGGTCTTCTAACAAAGAGAATGCGAAGGTTTTGTACGCTATTTATAATCATGGTGTGTAGGTAGGTATAGGTAAAGAGTGTTGAGTTATGTTGAAAGGTAAAGTTGCAGCCAAGTCACGTTAGAGAAGACCACTTTGTAAAGACAGACCGCTACGTGTAACTATGGAGGAGTTGAGACTAAACACATGGACTCTTACAGACACATTGTTTTAGAAAGGAAAATGCGAGAGAAATTTTGTAGGCCTACAATAATTATGAATTAGGTTTTCAAGTATAACACACAAGGTTTTGTAAACAGAGAGAGAGGGAGGAAGGGAAGTACGGAGGAAGGGATTGGGGAGGAGGGAGGGAAGGAGGAAGGGATTGGGGAGGAGAGAAAGCCCTTGAGAGAATGAAAGGAGCCATCAACTTGTTGCCAAGGTGAAGTAACGTATACAGGAGTAATAGCCGAACCTTTACTGGGACGGTGAACGTCGTCTCGTCCAGTAGAACTACCACCACGTCCCTCGACGTCTCAGGCATCTTTGTGTCTCTCTTCCTGGACCACAAACACAGCAGCTAGATCGAGTCCTCGATGTCTCGTTCAGCCAGATTAGCGGCCGTTACAGCAGCCGTTTATGGAGAACGGGACACGGTGATTGGATATTTTACGCTGCAGGATACGTAGCTTCTTGTCCTCGTCTTGGCAGAGAGCCAGGTAAGCCACAAGACGTAGAGCGATCACGACTACAGGCCCGCTGCTGCGAGAGGACGACGGTTTGTGTCTGGCTTCGTGTCTTTTGGGGCGGAGCACAACATGTGACGTCACACTCTGCGCGCGCCGCTAAGAACAAGCCGGCAGAGGAGTTTCTGCAAAAAGCGTTGCGTGTGTGCGAACACAAGAAACTGCACACGGTAGTCTAGATAGTTTGTGCGGAGATCTACCATTGAAAGGAATATGAGGACTGGTAGAACTATCGTTCATCTGCTGCTGCTAGCCGCTGCTGGGCTGGTGGCGGCGGAAAGTCTCAAGATCTCGGCCTTCAACATCCAAGTGTTCGGTCGCAGCAAACTGAGCAAGACGGAGGTCGTGGAACTGCTCAAACAGGTGAGAGCTCAAGTGTTTCGTCTCCCTACCTCCCCCGTGATCGGGCCCCTGCTCCGGAGGGATTTTAGTGTTTACTTATTCCCAGCCCCTCCCCCACACAATCTCGTGCGTGGCCGGCTACCTGCAATTTTCTAGGCGAAATCTCACTGCGCCGTCATTTTGTCCCCGCAGATAGTGCGTCGCTACGACATCGTTCTCATTCAGGAGATCAGGGACTCCACCGAAACTACAATTCCTGATTTCCTCAATATTATCAACAAGTATGAACGTAAAAGAAAATTTGTTTTCCTGCTTACTCATACATATGAAAGTGACAGGGTTGTTTTACCTACTACACACAGCTTCACAACTTGCTTATTGCACCTCTGTCAGTCTTTCCATAATGGCTATAGGCTATGTAGATACTCACGTGCATCAGTACATGAATTTGATTGTGTGACAATAACTCATGATCTGTTGTAGTACTATAATATAGTTGTTATCACAACAGGCCATGCATGGAATAACCGATAATCAATGGCCCACCATTATTCAATGTACATATATATCTACAGCGGCAGTAGTGTGAGGTATGAAGCAGTTGTCAGTGAGAGACTTGGCAGAACCAGCAGCAAGGAACAGTACGCCTTTCTTTACAGGTTTGAAAATTCGACAATGCTAGAAGCTAAACGACGTCACTGCATGCACAGTCCATATCATAAAAGCACTTCTGAATTTTAACTGATGACCATTTATACAATGAAAATTAGTATAGTATGCAGTTAAGTCCCTGGAATAAGGGGACCTTATAAAGTTCCTTGATTCAGAGGGACTGATATACCGGTTGTCCTTTATTCAGAGGTATTTACCAGAGGTTTCACTGTATTCTGCAGGCTAGGAGCGGTGGAGGTATTGAAGACCTACCAACACGAGGACACTGAGGACCAGTTTGAGAGAGAGCCATTCTCAGTTCTCTTCACTGACCCTCGCAGAGGAGAAGGTCTGGTCAATATTGCATTTAGCAATAGTAAAGTAATGCTGATTTTTGCACTCGCTAAACATTTTGTCGTTTGAACCGCTTGCCGCTCAGAATATCAATGACAGAGTCACATAAGTAATCTGTACCAACCACCATTCTTTTTCAGTTGTCTTTGCATTCTTGGTAATTTCAAGAGTCCACTTAAACTAACAAGGATTCTTGGACTATACATACAGCTATATAGATTTCTCCGAAATTAATGTCAAATGCACAAAGATTGTTTGAAAAATACTCTTTCTCCCCGTCCCCCTTTTTGTCCGCAGAATTCTTCTTGCTGGGAATTCACGTGAAGCCATCGGATGTTGTGAATGAATTAGAGGCACTTGGCCCCGCCTTCCAGTTGGCATCCGGTGTTCATGGCAACAGCAGGGGGGTGATAATGGGAGACCTAAATGCAGGCTGCAGGCAAGACTCCCAGAGACACGCCCACTTTCTGTGTATTTTTACTTTAACTCTTGCCCACTAGTTATCTGAGTCGGAGTAAATACGAGGAGTTATCACTAGTGAAAGATTCGTCCTTCATCTGGTTGCTAGGATATGATGCTGACACTACAGTGGCCAGTAGCACATGCTCCTATGACAGGTATGTACATTGTGGTGTCCCCCTCTCCCCCTGTGTCTGACTGAAATGTTTACAATAATGACATATTCACAGGTTTATAGTCCATGAATCACTCAATAGCTCGGTTGTGGAAGGCAGTGCGGGAGTTTTCAACTTTACTGACGCCTATTCCCTTACTGCTGGCCAGGTCTCTCTCCCTTCCCTTCGTTCTCCGATTGAAGAAATGTCTCTTTTTTTCAGGCTAAGAATGTCAGTGACCATTTCCCGATCGAGTTTCAACTAGAGTTGGACTCTCAAGGTATGCTCCACACCTGACCTTATGCTGCAGTACTAAAATGTAAAGTACGGATAATTTTATAACAGACATTCAGGTATATAATACTTAGCTGTTTGATTTATATGCCCTTTTTTGGAGGATCCAACCTGTAGTCTTCACCACACTGTATCTGCTATGTTTGGCCACTTTGAAGGATCCACCGTAGTGTAATATCTACTATTGTCTGGTCCCAGGAGGTTCTCATTTCAACGAGCACTCCACTCCCTCCACAGCCTCCAGCTCTCCCTCCCTCCTCCATCACCCCCCTCTACTGCTGACCGCTGGACTCATCGCCATCACTGTCATCAGATACTGCTTATTTCATTGACAAAGAGCTGTGTCTATAAATATCTTTTTGTGTATTCAAGTTTCGTGATATTTTTACTACTGTTCAGAGTCACTCCCACTGCAGAATTCTTCCTCGTCACCTCCTATTGCATTCCAGAATGACATCACCACCTATTGTGCCCATAAATAGTAACACGATGTCATTGAAACAAAGCCTTACCTTCTCTGCATAAGCTTTCCTCTCCTCATGTGGCAGACTTTGCGCATGGGCTGAAATATTATAAAGAACAATGTCTTAGGTTCTAAATTTTGAAGCTGGTTACTTTTCATATCGGCAAACTTTGCAAACAGAGCTTCGAAATCCTCCACCCCCTTCTCCCCTCCTCTTTCCAGTGTCTCCATACCGCTAGAACCAAGTAGTTCATTCAGCCTCGACGAAGACGACTCATCAGTTGGTGGTGACTTCAGTGAGCCACCAGTCGCCGATGATGATCCAGAACAGACTGACATCTCCGTGTCTTTACCATCGGGGCTTTGCCTAGTCTCTTCAACTGTTGTAAGGTCTTTGACAGCGGTGGAAGAGACATCAGTTGAGCCACAAGTCCTCTCAGTTTCGTCATTTCCTCCATTGCACATAGCGCCAGCAGTACCAGAATTCTCATCACCTCCCCTCCTCCCATGTTTCTTGAGACTCATTTCAGGCCACATGTGTGCCTGCAGAGCCTCTGATACTCTAGCCACACCCACTGACTCAGGAAAATCTTCCTCACCATCTACAAGTTTTACCATAATTACTCAAATTTTGATTGGCTCAGTAAAATTTTACCTTCTTCATTTTTTGGTGGATCAAGCTCCCATTCCACAAGTTCCACTCCTCTCTTTAGACACCATTGCACCACCTCACCCCTCACACCCTCTCGCAGACCACACCCATCCACCACGCCCACCAGAAGGCTCACAGGGGGCGTGGCTTCAGTGGGAAGCTCCTCCCATACCAAGTAGGCCTTCTTTACTGAAGATGGCTATATACAGAAATGAGAAAATGATACAAACATACAGCGGAATAGTGATACGCTTTTTAGAAAGTGTTCTTTATTCAGAGACATCCCTTATTCGGAGGTGTATGCATACATTAGATGTCAATTATTTCGAAAGTCAATTCTCAGAGGTTTTAGCTACAGTACCAAACTGACCTGATTTAGATTGCAGATTGCGATCAGAGCCTGCCACGCCCCTTTATCTTCGTCCAAATCACTTTTGACCTCCAGACACACCTCAGCCTCATAGTATCTGTTGCTGATGGCCCATTTCACGTGACCAACAATGTTCTCCGGTGAACATGAAGTGCCTGTCAACTCTATGCATTCACAGTCCGTTGGAGTCAGTATAATATGATACGTAGAACCTACGTGTTAGAAAGGGTTACCTGAAAGTAATCTAGCGGCAGTAGAACCATCGCTGCCCGTGCAGCAATCCACAACACACACACGATTCTCGATATCGTCTTCAGCCATTCCCAACCGGTGTGCGCATGCGTATTTGTAGAGGGCGTGGTCGGTTTCCATGGGGACAGTGTTGGTGGGCGCTTTATAGGATTGCCGGCGAAAGTAAAACACAGAAGATGTCGGCTTTGGTCGGAGGAGGAGAGCGAGGCGAAGACCTGGGAGCTATTCTAGCGAGGGTTAGCCGTCTTCTCGAACGTTAGCTACAGTCTATATCGCCATCCTAGTCTCGCTAATAGCTATCCGACTTTTTCGGACGCGTTTTCTGCAGGTTCAGGACGACCTGCAACTGATTCGGACGGCCGTGGCTCGAGCGGGAGAGGACGCTGTGGACCGCGAAGCTCTCGAGTCTGTACTTAGCCGCACGGAAAGAGGAATACAGGTACGTGGCCTTGGAAATAAATTCGGCGAAATCTGCAACGACTTTGACGCCGTTTGTTGCATCGTTGCAGGTTGCTTCGCGGCAGGTCCTCTCCTCGAGCCTGGATCACGTGACCACCCTGCCCCCAGTCTACCAGCAGCAGAGTGAGGGGTCGGGGAGTTCGAGGGGAAGGGGTCCGAGTCGGAGGAGAGGGAGATCTGAGTCTCACAAGATGGGACTACTAGAGATGGCTGAGCACACGTCGCGACACAGCCCCATACACCAGGCCAGGTGAAAATAATTATGCTTGCCAAACACTACAATGCTGGACACATGCAATGAAAACCTCTGAGACTGTCTTTCAGATGTTTCACTGCACAATAGAAACATAAATGCTCTGCGAAAGAATTGTCCAAACTATCGTGGTGTATATATACATCTTCACAGAGTCTTATGCTTCTTTATATGCAACATAGTATGTGTGTGCAGTGAAACATCCAGAAGAGGGTCTCAGTGGTTTCACTGTGCGCGTGTATATATATTTTTTATTTGGAAAACATTATTTCATGTTTTTCTCTCCCACTGCGTGCAGACACTATTCACTGAGTGCTGCTGAAGAAACCCAGCTGATGCAGAGAGCACGACTCGTGATGACCCCGTCGCTACCGGCAACGAGGAAACTGCTGAGCCAACACTATTCCCTCCCGGAGACCCGAGAAGCGAGGTCGTTGTCGAGGTCAAAGGTCAGAGGGAAGGTGTACTCTGGAGGGACTGTCCCTCCACTTACGACTTTGCCACAGCGACAGAGAAACACTATTGTGGTATGACTGCAGAAATTTCGATAATACAAATCACTTTACCATTGTTTTGAGCATTGCAAATGCTCGGCATTTATGTTGACAATTTGCAACTCATCTAATCAACTGTCTGCTTCTATATTCATGTCACTGACAAAAAATGCAGGTTCGACCTATGGTTCACTGCACTCTCTCTCTCTCTCTCTTTCAGTCAACTCCACCCACAATCTCAGAAGATGACGCCCACAAAGGTCTCCTGAGTCTCATCGAGAGGCAACTGATACCAGTGAGTTTTACATCATCCCCCAGTCATGTGACAGTCATGTGATCTCTAGCCTGCAGCCGACATCGTTCTAGACCCTCCGCCAGTGAAATCAACAACACTCGAGGTGAATTTCTACACAAGGTTTTCATTTCTATAATACTTCCTCCTTTTGTCTTTTTCTTTCAGTTGCTGAGTGCATCTCAGCAACACGCTAGGGCAACTGTCGCTGTAGCTCAAGATGGTAAGCCTTTTGACAAATACTTTCATTCACTCAATTTGTTTGAGGTGACAGTATCCAGTGCATTATGAGAGAAGAACTGGACATTTTGTGTGACAAAAACAGTATTACTAGTAGCCTGGAATGCATTGCTGGTTATGATTCCACAGGTTGTGGTCACATGGTGGGAGTGAGACTGGCTCCGGATCATGTGATCCCTGCCAGTGCCAGCGAGTCTCGTCAGGAAGCCACACCCACCACCCCACAGTCGGCGACGAGACAACCTCGCCTCAATTTCCAGCTCCTACCAGTTCCAAACCTGTTTGACCAGTCCTCTGAACAGGTGTAGCTCTATGATCCCACTTTAACTTAATCATGATGTGGTTTCGATTCTCCCTTGTCAGAAAACCGAGGAAAGAGTTCCTCCTCCTCTTTTCTCACCTCCTGTTGAAAGTCTCCAGATAATCATTGAGAATGGCCTCACACTCACTGCCACTGAGGTCTGAGATCACACACCTATTATACTACTGTATGTACATCCCAGTGTCTGGAGACATGAACAACTTTATGATCAAATGATGTAAATAGTGCAGTGCCATTTGATCTGAAAAACGGGCCAGGTGGTAATAAATTGACTCCTATTATGCATTTGTGTGTTGGGAACAAATTCATTTTCCACTTGCACTGTTTCTCTCACAGGATTATCAAAAGTTCCAATCTTCAAACCCCCAGCAATGGACACAGTAAGTTGGACACTCTTCCTCCTGTAACGTCATCTTGTGCCTCAAATTGTCTCTCAAACCTTCTCCGCAGTATATCAGCAGTGATTGGACTACTGGAGAAGCTGTGTAAGGATTTCGCCGTTCCTACCGCAATAGTCAACTGCAAAAGGTATATACACTATTCAATCAAACACTGATTTTTTACCTTGCTTCGAGCCTGCATGATAACACAACACTTTTCACTTTTCATCCTGGCCCAGAGTGGTTGAGTTGTCTCTGGAGACGGAGCTGTGTCTGAGGCTAAGGAGAGGAGATCTGCTGGCCTGTCTGTTCAACCAGGAGGAGGTTTCTCGAGTCATCACCAGACCAGTGTGTAACACCTCTCTCTTCTTGCCTCTTTTTGTCCTCCCTTTCCATTATGATTATCCTTTGGACCCTACTTGAAGGGAATGTATAAGGGTTATATTTATAAACTCTATTATACTGCATTATATTACTGGGCCCTATTGTTTTAGTTGGCCATTATGTACTGTTACATAACTTCTCCTTCAATAAGGTTTTGCCCCACAGGGTCAGCGGTTCAGAGGTCAAGATGGCCAACAGGCCGCAGCATCACTCATTCAGGTGTAACCATCACATCTCTCTATCGATTTTTCTATTGATCTTTCTCATCTTCTCTCTACTATATATAGGCCACGTATCGAATGTACAGTCAGCGAAAGAAGTACCTCAGTCACTTACGGAGAGTCTGGGCTGTGGACGCCATATCCAAGGCATGGTCGCTCTGCATTGCAAGGTCGCTCCTCTCTGTCTGCTACTAAAAATAAACATTACGTAATGGTTGTTCTAATAATAGGCACTCGGTAAGGAGAAATCTTGTGGAGAGGAGAGAGAGAGAGTTGAAGTGCCACAGGTTGAAAATTTCTCAACTGGCCAAAAGATGGAGAGATGTTCAAGAGAACAAGAGAGTTATTATTCATCTCCCTTCATTAGGTAATCCCTATATTTAGTAACAGCTACTCCTGTAGTTTCAGTGTATGCTACCATATTTGGTCTTCCACTGTGGGTGCTGTGTTTAGTAGCTGTTACTAAATATACACCTGTGTGATTAGGTCATCCACTGTGGATGCGTGGAACGGAGACAGAGATAAAAATAGAACAGAGTCTTCAGTTGGGACGGATCACTGATGTTGAAGGTGTAATACTTTTGCTTTCACACAATGTACATTTAGCTATTGCAATGGACAGTTCTAGATCAAATGAAAAGCACTAAAGTGCAAACCCTCGGCACACTATATAGAAATGTGGAACCCATACACAAGTGTGGCACCACCACAATTGATGGTCTGTTATGCACCATTTCCATGAAAAAAAATGGCCAGCCCCATTTCTGTTTGAGGGTAAAAATATATTAGGTTGAAAAATTGCCAACCTTTTATCTTTCTATGAATTTTCGTATTACCCGTGGATTGTTTAGTGCAAAAAAAACTAGGTTGAAAAAAAAAACGGCCAGCCCTTCATCTCTCCAGACAGACGTCTACGGACGTAGTGCAATGCCGAACTGTACGCTGCCCTTTGAGAAACATGGGTCAGTGGTAGATTTGTGGGTAAGGGGAGGAACCAGAGCTGTTCCCAGCCAATGCTCTGGACCATCTGACATTTTAGTGCGGGATCGAGGATACGAACCCGGCACCTATGGTGTCAGTCCCCACGACTCTAACCACCTAGCCACTCGGGCTGGCCTGGAGAGGTGATGAAAAAACGTTCCATATATACCAACACTCCTACTATTACATCATTGTAAAAAAGGCGTACACACCCGGGATCGAACCAGGGACCTCACGATCAAGAGAGGGGGTGCTTATCCATCAGACCACCATTACTTGAATGGGAACAGCGTAAATGAAAAGCACTAAAGTGCAAACCCTCGGCGAAGTAGCTCGCAGAGAGTCTGACACGGGCTAGCTAGCTACAGTTGTAGATAGCACGCGATAGTCGATACACGCCATTCGTTGTGACTTCAAGAGCAAGCGAACCCGGTCGAGGTAAGCCTGTGCTAAATATAAGCGCATGCGCTTTTAACCGCCAGCGATAAAATGGCGACTACCGGCATTTGCCTTACAATGCTGGAAGCGCTCTAGCTTAGCAACGGAGCATTTTCAGAGAAAACCGTTCGAAATTTCTGACCTTCATTGCCCGTTAAGTAGGTTGTATAGTTTGTGAGACGAACATACATTCGAGAAGTGAGATTGAGAGTAACAGACACACACAGACAGACAAACCCAACTACAGTACCCTCGCTGCGCATGCGCGCCGAGGGTAACAATGCTCTCAGCTACATTATACCTAGTATGCACAGTACAAATGAACCAATGTATGGGTATGAAGTCACAGCCGTGTGGTGCAAAGGATTGACTCTGGGTTTTCAATTGTCGTTGTAATCCCCCTGTCTCTCCATGCAGATCCCAATGTGGAGGTGGTATACATCAGTCCGGTGTCCCTGGACCAGGAGATACTCGACTACTACGGGAGCCTCCTGGCCACCGGGCCCTCTGGTTCCCAGTCTGCCATGGAGAGAGTTCACATCGTCACTCCCGACGTCTCTCTCCCTCCTCACCCTCTCCCTCTCTCCTCCCTCCTCACTCTCAACCCAAGGTCTGACAATCAGCCGTTGAGACTCTGTGAGGCATTCTGTTAGTATGGTTAACTCTATAGTTTAGTAAGTGATGCAAGATCATACTTTAGTAATGCGTGCGTACCTTTGAATGCTGCATGTTCGCAATTTGTTTCCTAGGGTTTAAGAGGGTATATTGTACCTTACCTCATTTTTATGACTTGAAATTGTTACTGGGAAAGTGAACTTCTATCTTCAAAGAACATGGATTTTGTAAAGAGTCACCTATTCATGTCTTCTTTCCTCTCTTCTCTCTCTACCGTACTACATATGTGCAGGACAGTTCAACGAATAAAGAGACTGACGGCTGGTAGGGAAGCCTACATCATTCCCGGAGCTGTCAATCCCGATGACATCACTGTAGCTGACATGCTAGGTGAGGATCCCATTCTGGTTCCGGAATGAGACCAATACAAGTCTCCATTCCATTCCAGGTGTCCCTCTCCTGGGAACAGGTCCCGAGGCCAGTCAACTCTATGGCAGTAAAGATGGGGCGAGAAAGTTGTTTAAAGAAGCCAACGTGAGCGATGTAACCTTACCTAATATGTACCTCAGTAGGTATAATGGGGAAGTTTACTGTGAAGAATTGAGTACCAATCTTTCCTCTCCTTTCAACAAATCTTTTAGGCAGCAAATAAATATCGCTGTTTTGAACCAATGAAGGTTTTCTTTGTGAATAATTATGGATGATGATCACGGGGAAAGAATTTAGATTCCACCTCTTTCCTCTCTCTCCCCTCCCTCCCAGGTGGTGACTCCACCCTGTGTCCCAGACATAGTCTCAGAGAATCAGCTGGTGGATCAGTTGACAGGACTAGTGGCGACCCACCCTCTCATCAGACGATGGATCTTCAAACTCCCTCACCACTCCAGAGGAAGAGGATTCGGTCTGTTTATATATCTCTTACTTTGTATATATACAGTGGAACCTCTCTCTAAGGAACAGTTCTTGCATGCAATTCAACCCATGAAATAAGGACGCCTTTTCTTTCCCCCAAGAACATGCTAATAGTGACTTTTGCTGTACCATTGGCGAATTGGATTCTCAGCACAAAAGCAAAGATGTTGGTTTGTACCTGGTGTAAAATCCATGGAAATAATGAGGGTCCAAATTTTGAGTGACAAGTGGTTCACATTTTGAGAGGCATTGAGAGCTACTAGGATAGAGAAAAGAGTTTGGTTTACATGTTGTTGTTGTCTGCAGCTTACTGTGACGTGGGGGACCATCTGGAGTGTCACCGGTGGCTGGTGAGGGAGAGCCAGAGATATGGACTCAACTGGTCTACTCTCTGGGCACAGGTACATGTGGTGTATGGACGTATGTGCATTATTTATGGCTATGATGTAGTGGATAGTGGAGGAATATTGATGTAAAACGCACACACACACACACACACTCAGGAAGGTGCTAGAAGGAGAATTCTCCTGGAGCTGCCAGCGATCCTGGAACTCTACTGCAGACCAGTTGACACTGAACTCTACCCCAACTGGAGAGCCTTCCTTGCCGACTTCCTCGTTAACGGTGGCCTAATTGAGGGGCATCCCCCTTCTCCCAGCGTGACTGCTCTAACAGTTGACCTCTTCATTGACCCCAGAGGAGATGTTACTGTTGTCAGCACCCAGGACCAGGTCAGCGAGATAGGGGGGAAAGGATTAAAGTTTGGAGCGAGATAAGGAAAATTAAGAGAGAGATAGGGGAAAAAAGAAAGTTTATAGCAGCGAGATAGCGGGATAAAAGAAAGAGTTTGCACAATGGGACATTACCTCTCTCCTTACCTCAGATATGTGGAGAGGAATACGTAGTGTGGGGAGTGTCTGTGCCCCAGACTTCCGTTCCTCCCGACCTTCTCCTGACCTCTGCTCTAAGAGTGGGCGTGGCTGCTAGTGGGCGTGGCATCCTCGGACACATCTCTGTCGACTTTGTTACCTTCATAAACCCCACATCTGTAAGTACTAGCATGGGAACTTACTCCTGTTCCATTGGTGTCCTGATTAGAGAGTTCCATTTCTCAGTTGGTGCAGGAGTTGTGGGCTGTGGACCTTGACATCGGCTACAGCAGCCATCTGGCACTGCTGAGGTTGCTATGCTATGTCACCGGGGCAACCGTGGATCCTCGCAGTGGTCAGCTGGTGGTAGACGGTGGTCCTCGTTTCGCGGTGTTGTCCCCCCGGGTGTACCATTCCAGTCTTCCAGTGGTTCACTATCCCGTGTTCTTCCAAATGTGCAAAGCTAACCACATCGGATACGATGCCAAGGTCACGTGACTCAATCACTAATGTCATGTGACGTCACATGATCTATCTCTCTACAGGAGAAGGTTGGAACATTGTTTGCTCTATTTGACAGGGAACATAAGGAAAACATTGGACTCATGTGAGGAAACAGTGTATATATAACAGGCTAAAGCATTCGTGTGTATTAGCCATTATGTACTGCCACAAGTCCTACAAATATGCATTTCTCTCTCTCTCAGCTGTCTGCAGTCCAGTCTGTCCTCAGCTCTGACTGCCTGCTCCAACACTCTCTCCACTCTTCATCACGAACTGTCCACTCCAAACATACAGGGCTCCTCCAACTTCAAGGTAGCTACCATTTGATAAGTACACGCAATGCGACCTACTTATTACTGGACCAGAGATAATACTTTAGCAGTGGACACTACTCATATAAGAGGTATCCTTTATTCAGAAGTATCTCAAGTTTGTACCTTAGCGAAAGTACAAGTGTCCTTTATGCCATTAGGCTCAATAGTACCCCCCATTCCATGCTGTGTTTGGATGATTTGCTACATCCACATAATGTGACTTGTCTAAATGCATTACTGTTCCAATACAGAATGTATGCAAGGAACTGGACGCAGTAGCTGAGCTGCTGAAAGACAATTCTTAATACCAGCAGTGAACTGAGGACAAAATGACTTCATTCACATACTGCATACAGTATGAGTGTGAAAATGTTTTTTACCAAACTGAAATGATGACATTGTACAATGTAAAGCCTAGATGTCTCCGTTGACACAAAGACAGCTAGCTGAAATTCTGAAGCTTTTGGTTGCTCTTTTTATCGTCTGTTGCAGTAACTAGCAACCTGCATGAGTTGACTCCTGAAAGTCGAATTTTGCAAAAAGCTCTGTTTTTCTGAAAGCTCTGAATTCTGCGATAGCTCTGATTTTGCATCTCTGATTCTGCTCTGAATTTTCCCCTGAAAGCTCTGAATTTTGCAATGAAAGCTCTGAATTTTTCACTGAAAGCTCTGAATTTGCAATGAAAGCTCTGAATTCTCGCGACAGATTTCCTTCAAACTGGTTCTAAAGAGAGCCATATGCTCCCACTAGCTCTCCCGTGCTCAAGTAACAGTTTGCGCGTGGATCGCCGCACTCTTCTTGATATGGGTGGCCAGCTCAAGTCTCAGGAGATCTTCCCTGACAACCGACTGGTCTGAATGGACACGGGACGGGAGCCAAGATGCAGTCGTCGTCGATGTGAAGGTGGAGTTTCACAGCGTTCGGTCATTAGGTCACAGTGGGGGCACCGACAGGGGTAGTACGGACACTTGCCCAAGTGGCTGTTGACAATGTTGTTGTAGTTGCTCTGGATATAGCAGTGAGGACAGGAATAGCTACGTTTGGGGCAGTCCGACTCTTGGTGTTGGGAGAGACTGGATCGCTTCATCGTTTCACCACACAAACTGCATGTAACGTTAACAAATAGACACCCTTTTTGGTTTTGATTGGGGTTCAGGTGGCTGCCCAGCTGTCTCAGCTCCCCAGTCCACTGGCACCCTCTCTCTCCTTCGCCACGCGACCTGTGGACAGGGAGAAAGAAGAACGGTGGGAGCGAGATAGAACAAACGGTGGGGAGGAAAATGAATAAAGTTTGCAGCGAAATACAGGGGAAAGGAGAAAGCATCCCCTCTCTCCCTCGCCGCTGTGAATACCTGTGCACGCAGTAGACACGGAACCCAGCCAGAATGCGGCGAAAGTTCTGGTCCGTAAACATGCGAGGTGCGCGCGCGTTGCACATCGGGCAGCGGTCGTCGCTGTCTCTCAGGGCCCTCTGCAGACAGCCGGTGCAGAAGACTCGGCCGCAGCACTCGACCTGGGAGGGCTTCCTCAGGACCAGCAGGCATATCGGACACTTCCGTGTCGATACCTTCGGGAG